CATATCATATAGCATATAGCACATAACATCTTTTATAACACTCATTCATATGTCATGATACCTTGGAATCATGGACTTGACATTAAGACTTTCCAAAATGAGGGATCAACATATGGGACCTCAACTAGGGAGTCTTCATTAGCAAACACATAGTCTGCTTCATTCCTTCATACGTAATTCATTTCATTTCGTTCATAGCCTAGTGTGAACACCAGCTATACCTAGGATGTAGTTTAAGACTTTCATCGGGTTTGTTGTGAAAAGATCAAGAATAACCTAGTGTCATTACTTGAGTCTAGTTCACCTCTTAATTATCATATCCTAACACCTTTGGTATCGTTCATTTCATTATGTGCATCATTTGAGGCTGGCCTCATTTATCCTTTGGGAACTTTAACTTTAACCGACATAGATCATATGAGCATCACGAAATCCAGTGTCTCCCCCACACAGAAAAGAGGTGGAATTACCAGCCAAAGTGACCCAAAACATGCTAGCATACATGGGAATTTAACCCCGCCAGATCCCTATATTGGCAGTATAGGTTCGAAAACTAGGATATATAAGGAAACCTATACCCGGCATGCCGGACAGTCTCATCTCATAAGAGTTACGTGAACCTTCGCCCTTCCTGAAAGAAGGCATCACCGCTCATAGCTAGTTTATCGGTGCTCAGTATAAAGTTCCATTACATTCAACTCATATGTCATGAAAGTTGGCTTCTACTATGGGGACATCATAGCTCAATAGATAATTTCTCATCTCATTATTAGTATTAAGTGTGTTAATCTCAATACTTTCATTAGAGTGTTCATAGAGACTGGTCTTTTCATTAACTTTACACTCTCATAGGTGAGTACGTTTTAGTAACATTTACTTAGGTTCATTTGAGATTGCTCTCATCTTCTACATTAGCCTCATATCATGTTGTCACCACATTCACTAACATTAGCACATTTGCTCTTCATAATTACTCACCCCTTTTTACTTGAATGTTCATTTCATCATTTTCCAATGCACTTGGCCATTTAGTGTGTTTCACACTCTTACTTAACCCTTGTAGGGTTTCATCACTTCATTGTTCATTTCATAATTTTATTATTCATTTCGTCATATGCCAATGAACTTGTCCATTTAGTGTATCTTACACTCGTACTTAACCCTTCTAGGATTTCATGATTTCATTATATACATCTTAGGTTCACTTATTTTTAATCGTATCCTAGACTTATGGGTCTATACTTACAAGCCATGAGGCTTCATTCATAGTTTGTTAAGTGACTCATATCTTCCTAAGATTATGTATTACAAGACTTATGTATCTTGTATGCATGCCAATATCACGATTTTGATCCAAGTAGGTGGCATTATTCTTGAATATTTAATTTATGTATCAATACAGAAATTTGGACAAGGGAACACATGTTCGAACTCCTTGAACAATACTTACATCTTTCCTTGACTTTATTTTTAGCCTTCATGACATTGAAACCCTAGATCGAGCCCCAACATCATCATTCTATCTTTATTTTTCTCCTTGGATTCTCCTCTTATTTGGTCGAAGAATTGTGGGATCAAACCCCCCACAACCCCTTTTATTTCTTTTATTTTTGTAAAAATTGTGTTCTTGAATTCGCCTAGACCAAGAGGTTGTGGGATCAAACCCCCACAACCTCTTTTTATTTTTACTCTTTATTTCGTTGGGAATTTGGAAGTTGTGGGTTCGAACCCCCACAACCTCCTTTATTTATTTTTATTATAAATATGCCTTAGCTATGCGTAGGCTGTGAGATTGTGGGATCGAGCCCCCACGCCTCACTTTATTTTCCTAAATAATTCGCCTATCCTCCCTTCTAGCCTTGAGGTCGTGGGTTCGACTCCCACGCCTCACACTTCCTTTCTTTTACGTTTCTTTCACTTCACTCGCTGCATGGAGGTCGTGGCTTCGATTCCCATGCCTCCCATTTTATTCATTTATTTTTTGCACTCTCCTTTTTCAGCCAGTATACCCATTTCGATTCCCGCTAGTCCCATTTCTTTTCTTGCGATATCAAGGCAGTAGACAGGTGAGGTCACAGGTTCGAATCCTTGTGGCCTCACTCCTTTATTCTCCAATAAATTTCCCAATTTATTCCTCTACATTTAGCCTAAACTAAGCTTGTAAGTTGGCTAGAATTTTAGTCATTTTTTTTAGCTTATTGTCACCAACATTTTCACTTGAAATCTTAGGGAAATTTATAGATCTTTTAACACATTTTTGGGGTGCATTTTCATAGATTCGATTAGCCAAAATATTAATACTCAGATCAGGCACACTTCCATTTTAATGAACATCACGATTTACATACACGTAAAATGAAAACCAAAACAATATCAAACTTGAAACATTAACCCAAGACCTACTTTACATCAACATTTTTGCATATGCACACACTTGCACAAAATTTTGAATACATGCTTGTCTTTCATACGATTTCAAGCACACAAACATCATTGTATTCATCACGAAAACATAATATATACCTAATTCTCCAGGAATCATACCCAACCTACGATTCATAGGGAGCTAGTGACAAGGGCATGCAAGAGGGGAAACAATCCTAGTTTTCGAATAAATAATATAAACCTTAAGGGGTCTCTTGGGAAAGGGACCAAGAGAAAAGAAAATCCATACCTTTTTGATGTTAAACCCTTGACTTGCTGCCCAAAAACTCCTCCCAAGAACACGTCTAAGCTTCCACAATATCAACTCCACTCGAATGACAACCTCTCTTAGCGTAGTGTGCGATTAATGTTTGTTTTCTTGTGATTTCGTGTGAGTTCTTCAAGTGTGAAGAACTTGGTTTATTCTTTCTGCTTTTATATCTTATTTTAGCAGAGAATTTCGTGTGAAATAACAAGAGAGATTGAGCGTGAGAGTTAAGAGATAGACGAGAGAGAGTAGGAGTTATATTAGGTTTAGGAGTCAAGTTTAGGACTTAGTCAAATAAGGTTTACTTAATTATTAAAAATCTGATTTTTATTTTATTTTAAATCATATAATGAATAATAATTATTAATTAATTACATTGATTCAATAGCTTAAATAAAAATCACATTAATTCATTGCTTCCACCTAGGTTCGAATCCGGGTGAAGCAAAACTTCACTTCAAGAGCTCAATTTCGTATCTTTCTCCCCAAATTGTCCCTCCACCTTATTAATTAAATAATTAATTATATATTTAGGATAATTACAATATTACCCTTAGCCTAAAAAAAGACCATTGTACCCCTAGACCCTCCAAACCTAAGATTTCCTCTTTTTAAGTTCGGTAAAGACTTCTTCGAGTAAATCTTCGTATTCGAGAGCCCTACATGGTTGGACCCAACCCTTCCAAGCTCAACTAACTCCCCAAGTTAGTTGGCTTATTGTAGCAAGGGTTCCAAGGTCTGGTTCCACGCGCATCAATCCGTGTGAACCCTAGTCTAATCATAGGCATTCTTGACACATTAAGCATCACATAGTATATCCATTTTTAAGGTTGTTACACCTACATGGCTGAACCCAACCTTTCCTGGCTCAACTAACTCACCAAGTTAGTTGGGCTTGGCTGTTGTAGAGGTTCAGAGGTCTGGTTCTACACGCATCAATCCGTGTGAACCCGGTCTAATCGTAGGCATTCTAGACACATTAAATATTACTTAGCATATTTCTACCTAGCAAACAGGATATTAAGTAATTTGATTATGTCAAATCAGTGTTCATGGCTTAAATGAACACAACTGTAAGCATCATAGTTGTTAACTGACTGATTGTGCAACATGTGTTTTTCTAGGTATATACCAAAATTTGACGGTTCAAAAATATCAAATCTATAGATTGACCAAGTATATCCAACATATATTCACAATACAAAAATCAAAGAAAAACCTACTTATCTAGATGTATAATCGTTGTTTGCAGAGTAAACTTGTTTGTGCATTTTTCTCTATTATAGCTATTCTCCATTCATGTGGGAATTGTTTGGTCTAGTAAAAATTAAATGAGAAATTGAGGGAACATATGTTTTTGTGAAAGCATTTCTCCGTCATTGGTAGTAGAAAAGAAGTTCAAGTATTTAAATAAAAAAATATTTTTACTTGTTAAAAGGATTGAAAAGAGGTTTCCTCACGCCGTTGCTTGCAAGCTTGACTTTGACTTGAAAAATTACCAATCAAGAGATTTATTTTTGGACAAATTTTTCTTTGATAATTTAATTATTAATTAAATTTGCCAAATATCCAATCCGAACCAGATCTGTGCGACCCAATTAAGTTTCTTCTATCAAATTTCATTTAAATATCTTGTCTGTTTTTTTAGACGATTGTTTTAAAAAGCTTGCAAACTTTTAGAAACCATACTTTCATGGCTCTAAATACATTTGATTCCTCCAAGTTTTCCATTCGAATTTTTTGAACTTTTGTAAATACATTTGATTCCTCAAAGTTTTCCTTTAGATTTTTTTGAACTTTATAAATACATTTGATTCCTCAAAGTTTTCCTTATAAATTTTTTGAACTTCAAAACTTCTTCTTCTATATATAGATGATCTTTTTGGGGGCAATTGTCCCTTCGTTTGCAATGAAACATTTAGAAGCAGACAACGTTAGAAACTTTTTTTGTTAAAAGTATATCACCAAATAGTACTAACAAGATATTTAATCAACTCCTACCCTCCTCTTGTATGTTAACAATAGTCATGCTTTGCCACTACCTTGTACTAATGCATATTAAGTGATGATATATTACTATCCTTTTGTACCTAAATTTTTTATTTTGTTATTCTTGCTGAGTGGGTAAAATACAATGGAAGGGATCATTATTAACTTTGTTTTGCAAACTAAAGATGAGTCATAATCGAAAAATTAAAGAGGGCAAGAAAATAGGAAAATATCTTGGCATGGCATTATTTTTAAAAAAAAAAAAGTGGAAAAGAGTAAAACGGCACTGTGTCTGTACTTACACGATAAGCCTGGTGATATGCTCGAATGGTCATGACCTTAGGGCTTTTATTCTACACTCTCTTTACCTTTAGGTACCAAAATATCTTCAAAAAGTAAGAAAGATTTTCCATTTTCACAAAAATTAAAGAATAAGTTGGAGGTTTGATCATGGGGACTTGTAGTTGCTTTTTTGGGTCTACTAATGAGGGTTGAAGAACATTTATCATATATTTAAATTTTTCTGGTTTGGATAGCAGATTATGGCTTTGGAGTTTTCAAAGTTGTAATATAAGGAAGCAGAGATTCGGGTAATATTCTTCTTCTTCTACTAGAGTTGCCCTTTTACACATTTTTGGTTTTTTGTAAATTATAGCTAATTTGTAGAATGTGTTGAAGATGCTACAACAATTCTTTATCTCTGAAAATTTGTTTTTTTTCTCCAATGTCATTTTAGCTAATTATTGAAGATATTTTGCTGATTTGAAGATAAAATAAAAGATTTTTATCCATAATTTGATTTTATGTGAAACAAGGAGCTGATCTACTCTTGAAGGAGTACAAAACTCTCAGATCCAACAGTTGTCTAGATTTCATGTTTTCTATTCAACAAACAAGTGGTAAATGAATATATTGTATTGTTGGGGTTGTATACAGACACAAACACCAAAACAACAACATTTAATCATCTATTTTATTAATGGAACTTAACTCCCACTGGAAATAGTTTATTTACTTTTTAATTAAATAAAATTGTCATTCCTTATTTTATTTCTTTTTTATTGTGTAGTTATCTTCTTTCTTTTTGAGAATAGCAATAACAAAAATTGTCATTCTTTAATTACACACAAAAAAGGCTCTCCACTCTATCTATCCTCCAAAGACTTCTCTTTTTCTTTTTCTTAGATTAGCTACCTATTTGTTTAGCTTTTACTCATAAACCTATCTGTCCAAAAGTTCATATCTAAAAGCTAGAGCATTTGATGCTTCTTCCTTTTTTTAAAAATAAATAAATAAATAAATTTGTGGACTTGTTGATTTTTTGTGGCTATGGTTTTGACTGTTTTTCTACAGTGTAACAGGGCTGTGATGCTGAGATGACACATGCCTTTGTTTTTGAAAGCACTGCAAAAAGAAGCCTTCTTTTCTCTCTACTTCTGACATTTGAACAAGCCCCCTCTGTAGTTGAATGTGATATATCAAACCTCAAAAAACAGTTTTTTTTTTTTTACATGTGTGTACTCATATGGATTTATCATTATGAAAGTCTTAAGTAGTGTGTAATCATGATTAATGCAAAGGACATCTACAGTCCTCCAAGCCCAAGAAGGTACCCCCTACACCAGCTCATAGTTTTATCTACTTGTATTTTTTTGAACCCTAATTCAAGTCCCAAATCCACATAGAATTTTTTTTTGGGTAAAGTTATAAATTTTGAAAGTTGGGTGTTTTCTTGATTTTTGATTTATTTATTTTTTTGTTTGTTTGAGGAAGGTATGAAAGTTGTAGTATGGAGATGGAGGAGATTCGAACTGATGAGTGCAAGTTTCCAAGAATGAGCAACAAGGAAGATGAGCAGTACCAACAATATGATGTAGATGATGTAGGAGAAGTCAAAAAGAGTAGCGGACTTGGTGGGATTGTAAAGTTTTATGGTCGGCCTTCATCAAGAATAGTTAGAGTTTCTCGTGCATCTGGAGGGAAAGATAGGCATAGCAAAGTATTGACTTCAAAGGGGTTAAGAGATAGACGTGTTCGCCTTTCTGTCAATACTGCTATACAGTTCTATGATTTGCAAGACCGTCTCGGCTGTGATCAGCCCAGCAAGGCTGTCGAATGGCTGCTAAAAGCGGCCGCTCCTTCTATTGCTGAGCTTCCACCTCTTGAGGCATTTCCAGACACACTGCAGCTGAGTGATGAGAAAAAGTCAAGTGAGCAGGGTTTTGATTCAGCTGATGTGGAAATGGATGATGATCTTCATTATAATCAGCAGCAACAACCTTGTTGTAGCAATTCAGAGACTAGCAAGGGTTCTGGATTGTCACTTTCCAGATCTGATAGTCGGCTCAAGGCAAGGGAGCGAGCAAAGGAAAGGGCCACAGAGAAAGAAAAGGAAAAAGAAAACAAGTCTTGTATTGTTGGTCAACACCACCAAAACATGCACCCTGGCTCGTCTTTCACTGAGCTATTGACGGGTGGTATGAGCGATAACAACACGAGTCCTAATGGTGGGTCCATCCACCAAAATACAGCAAGGCAATGGTCTACAAATCCGTTGGAGTATTTTACATCAGGATTACTAGGCCCATCAGCTACTCGTGGAATAGACAACCAAATATATTTGGGAAATCCTCTACAGCCATTAAGACCAATGTTTAGTATTACGGGTGAGCATAGAGCGGAGCTGCAGAATTTCCCATTTGGTGGTGACAACCTAGTTCCGGGTGTTACCTCTAGTAATACTAGTACTAATTATAACGAGTACAATTTGAACTTCAGCATTTCTTCTTCATCATCATCTGGTTTCAATAGGGGGACCCTTCAGTCCAATTCTTCCTCCACTTTGCCTCATTACCAGAGGTTTTCTCCGACAGATGGATCATATCTTGGTTCAACAACTGAATATGATGCTCGTTTACATCTCTTCTATGGGGCATGTGTTAATTTGTTTTTTTTATGATAAGGTTGCACGGTTTCCTGGGAATAGGTTATCGGCTGAGTTGTCTGTTTGCTTGGTTTCCTTGTTGCTTAGCATGTTTGTAGCCATGGACAGGTGTTAATTAGCTGGGCTGAAAGGCCACTTTAACAATGGTGGTATGGGTCTATAACACTAGACTAGATAATACTCCTTTTTTAAATCCCTATTTAATTTGTGTTTGTCTTTTTACTTTAGTGGATAAACACCCAACACTTGTCACTTCAACGGCGCTCTTTCTCTTCCTAACTAGGGTTGGGTCTTCTCCTTTTTTTTAGCTAAGTCATATTAAATCTACCTTAACTTATATTGATTCATTAAATCTAACTCAATATTTTCAAAAAATTTACTACTCCGGCAGTTTAAAAAAAAATTAGTTTAACTTGGAACTAAGTTTAAGAAAAAAAAAAGATTTTTTAATCTTGTGATTCTAAATTAAAGTTGTGTCAAATGTATCAAAATGTCCTTTAATCTTGTTGTCTTAAACATGTCACGTGAAAAATTAAAATTAAAGTTTTGCCAAAATAGAAAATCCTTCCTTTTCCTATTTTATGGTGAAAAATACATTTTTAAAATTTTTGGTCAAATCTCACATTGTTTTAATTGAAAAGCAAAATGTAGGGTGTCAGCTAGCTACACATAACTTGTAAATTCAAACTTGTAAACATATAAAGAGTGTTTGGATTGACTTAGAATTTGTTTGAACCTATTTTTAAGTATATTTTTACTTTTTTCAAATGTTTGACAACTATAGAAATAATTTAAAATAAATCAAAAAAATGACTTTGAATAAGTTGAAAATTAATAGTATATCTCTCCCTACTTTTCATTGTAAGTTAATTAAGTTTGACTTTCTTATTTTTTACTTAAAAGAGACTTTTTTTAAGTCAATCCAAACAAACTCAGTAGTTTTCTAACTCATTTTGTTAATTACAAATTCATAGCCTTGAACGTGTAGGCCTTATATACTACCTTTTTTTTTTCTAATATCGAAATAGCACACTCCTTTAGGAATAACAAATAAACTGACAATTTTTCTGTATCATTATTTGAATATAATAAATTCAATATTTTAGAAATACAGTTAATAAATACCAAGGATAGAGTGAAAGTTATTTGATAAACTATCCGTTAATTTTCTTAGTTAAATCGATAATAGTGGATATAAATATATTTTGAATCAATAAGGATTTATATAGTACAGTATAGCAAACAACTAGAAATTGACCGAAAGAGCATGTAGTTAGATAAATTTATGGCAGCTCTTATGCAGAGAAAATTATAATATCTGGCTGGTAAGACAATAAGGATTGTTTTTTGTATTAACTCTAGAAGACTGCAAGAACTGTCTTTGTGTATTATACGAGTATTTGATTGCATTTGATATAGATGCAAAACAAAGATTATGATTCTTTCTGAAAAAAGGAAAGAAAATAAATATTACATACCAATAGACTTAAAGCTAAGTTATTCGGACTTTGATAAAATTTTGTTGTACCATGTCAGATTTTTTTAAAATTCACTATTTTTGAAGAATTTGATATGCAATTATCGATATTTTTGAAGAGTTAAAAGCAACCTACATTTAGAGAGTTAATACCTCAGATGGTCATTCAACTATGCACTTTTTTCTCAGAAAGTCACTCAATTTTTAATTTTCACTCAAAAGTCACTCAACTATGCATTTCTTTCTCAAAAAGTCACTCAACTTTAAATTTTAACTCAAAAGTCACTCAACTATCCACTCTTTCCTCAGAAAGTCACTCAATCTATTAAGTTATTTTTTAATTAAAATTTGTTGATATTAATTATTCATATAACAAACCAAAAATTTTAAAAAATAAATTAAACCATTTAGTGATCCACCCACCTAACCCGACCCATTTAAAAAATATGATATGACCCGTTTTATTTTCTCTTTAATCCTAAATTATTCCCTCTTTAAACCTTGAATTAGGATTAAAGACAAAATAAAATAGCTCATATCATATTTTTTAAATGGGTCGGGTTAGGTAAGTGGATCACTAAATGGTTTAATTTTATTTTAAAATTTTTGGTTTGTTCTATAAATAATTAATATCAACAAATTTTAATTAAAAATAATTTAATAGATTGAGTGACTTTCTGAGGCAAGAATGGATAGTTGAGCGACTTTCAGAGGAAAGAATGGATAGTTGAGTGACTTTTGAATTAAAATTTAAAGTTAAGTGACTTTCTGAGAAAAAAGTGCATAGATGAGTGCTTTTGATTAAAAGTTGAATGACTTTTTGAGAGAAGAGTGCATAGTTGAGTGACGATCTGAGGTATTAACACTAGATTTAGATGTGATATGATATTTATATAAGTTTCTTTTTGGGACAAAAGTGATATTTATACAAGTATATAAAAGCATGTCTTTATTAGAGGTAATATTGAAGTTAAAAGGAGTTTTTAGCCATAAAAAGATACTCTACTATTCTTAGTTGGAACAGTCTAAAGTACAATAAATGTGATATGAAATGAAATAAAGTATTACAACATCACAGCAAACATATGAAATAATTATTGTCAGACGGCATCAAAGTCTGGATTTTGGACATTACAGAGTAGAATATTGAATGCTTATTGGGTGAGATAGCTTAATTATTAGAGAGAAAAAAAAAGTAGGCAAGGTGTAATTCCAATAAATCATTTATAATGTATGCTTGACATAATTTTAAATGATAAAATATTTATTAATGAGGGAATGGAATATCTCAATATTTGTGTCTTTTGTTTATATAATTAAGGGAGCTTAATGGATAGGTAGGACTTCGGAGAGTAGATATAGCTGGTTGTTCATAAACAATGATCTAAGCTAATTAGAGAAATACTGTAATACTAATATAGTGACATGCAAGAATAATATGTGCACGGACATGAATTGGTTGATATTTGAAAAACATTCCTTAATGTTAAAGAATGCAACATTATTGATTTTTTAAATAAACATTTTGATACTTTTAGAATTTGATTTTAAAACTTTAAGTCCATATTTCAAGTTTGAAATAATGGATAAATTTGAAAGCAGATAGTTGTTTGCCTTTGCTCTTTCCTTGGATATCATTAAGTATGAGCATCTAGTGTCTATGGCTCGAGTCCAGCTATTGAAGTGTTTTAATATTTGGTCAGGTCCTTGTGATATAACTTGTTTCTTATTTGCTTAAACTTTTTGCTACAAGTGTTTGTATTGATGAAAAGTAGTTGGTATTTAATGAATTATGTGCCTAAGGTCATCTGAACATAGCCTGTTATAAAAATATAATTATTACTGTTGAGATAGGACCCGATATTACTTTTCTTTTTTCTGGGGGAAATCGGTAAATTAGGAACCCGTTACAGTATATGATAAATAAGGTTAAGGAAGGCATCGAACAAATAAATCTTGTTTCCATTCGTTTTGTGGGGCCAACTCAACATTTGATTGGTTAGTAATTACTTCGTCTCTATTTCTCATTTCGAATTCAAACACACCAACTCTAAACTGCAGGTGATTTAAGCTATGTTGCTTGATATTTTTATGAATAATCCTTAGATATTTGTTGTCCAAAACAATTCTTAGATATTTATGTGGTTGTTGTGCAAATCATTTCATTAGGCTAAAAGAAAAATTTAAAAATAAATGATTTTTAATCATAGTAAGATAACATTCTTTTTAGAACAGGACTAAAAAAGAAAGAATAGCATGTACAATGGACGGAGGGAGTACTAATTTGTCAACACATACTAGCTAGCATTTCCTACTAAATTGATATCCATGATCATGTCACATGAGTTGCTAATTATTGCACTATTTGGGATGTCTATCATGTTCTTAGTTCAAGTAAAGATTAAATGATTTGTTACTTAGGTCAGAGAGGTACGACCAATACGCTAGGCAAACTTAATCTGATATATTTAAGTGAAGAAAGATAGGACTGACTCATTATCCATCTTGTTTTAAACCGTGTGCTACTTGTTCTCGACATTTTCTTGGCTGCGAGTAAGATGCACATTCTCTGAGTTCAATTTAATCCATCCTGTTGGTTTGACTAATGGCTATGCTAAATAAAAATAAAATTTTATCCATATATATTTCTAGTGAAGTGTGCAGGTCAAAACCAATTTCTTGTGCATCATTGTTAAAATTCTATAGGACTTCCGAATCATCATTGTTACACATTCACTTTAGTTTCTCATAACCTGTTTTTACTGCTAACCAACCTTATAAGGCTTTAATTTGTCAACCATAATTGATTCAGGCAATTGAAGATGGAAGCAGCCTCTGCAGTCCCAAAGGAAGCAATGCTTTTCAGTGCAACAAGCTCATATATTACTATTATTGTGCTTCTTAATTCCTTATTCTATGTTTTCATTCTGAGTACTATCTGATTTCTATGGGAGAAATCCCTTTGTTTGCTTCTTCTGGCCCAACTTCAGTTGGCGCACAGGTACGAAACTCAGCAAGGTTGAGTGTGTTTTTGTGACATCTCATTTGTATTTAAGATTTGCCCTCATTTGAATTTTATGATTTTGCACTAACTATTGCTTGAGGAGGACATCATGTTTGATGGATTTTATCAACTTGAAATGCCCCGCATTTAGTTGTGACAAATTCAGATATTAAAGTTTAGGAGTTTCTATATCGGTTTCAAGGTAAACATACAATAATACATGTGGTAATAGTCAAGCACTTGTAGATGTAGTTTATTTTCAGCACATATATAGTCTAAGTAAAAGTTATTGGATGAAGACGGATGCAAGTTAGATAATAGCTAATGGATGATATTTCCTACTTGTTATAATACATGACTCTTGGGTTTTAGTTTGACAACTATACTCTTCAACTTTTAGTGTGTAAAAGTTGACACTTAAATTCATATAAAATTAAAAAAGTAGATGCATATTCATTAATGAAATAATAAACGTAGGATACAAAATTGTCATGTAGGATAATATGTTTATTTATTCAATTTTATATATATTTAAGTGTCTATTTAGGTACATTCAAAGTAAATGATTATAGTTATTAGTTGACGTCAAATTACTGGTCATGTTCATGTATTATATCTTCCTACTTTGTGTTGACTTTGTTATTGGACTTTTATAACGAAAGGATTCTAAATTAAACGCTATGTACAGTGTACATCACATATCGACATATCAAGAAATGTTTTATATGGTGTTGGAGCCTTAAGGAGTTAAAACAACTCAAAGAACCTCCAGCATACAACTTCAACAATGGTAAGCAACTCCTCTCTTATGTTGTTTGGATAAAAGTGTTACGGCTGAAAAAAAAGTTATTGATGTACTTGATAAATAAATGTTGTTAAACACTTTTTTTTAAAATGAAAATGTCTGAAATACCTTTGAAGTTGTTAATATTATAAAAACGGATTACTTTATGATTTTTATTACTAAAAAAATAAAATAAATTAATTTATATTTAGTTCAATGGAGAAGTGCCTAAAATGCCTCATCACCTATTTAATTTGGTACAAAACTATCCTCCATCCACCTTTGGGCCCCCAAATAACCCAGACGTTGACCTTTTTCATTCAAAAGTACCCAACGTCTAAAAGATCACCCTTGCGTCTAGCAGATCATACTCATTATGTTCATGGAGGGCAACAATATACCAAATCATATAGTATAAGGGCATTTTAGGCCATTTTCCGTTAAAATAATTTGAAATTACTTGATATATAAGCCCACATGATTGCCTTGATTTTAAATTTCATAGTAAATTTAAAAGAAAAAAAAAGGTCATCTACTCTCTACACCTCCACCCACCCCCCGACCCTTCACTTCCTATCTCTTCCATTTCTTTTTTCTATTTGGATATTTTATTATTATTTTTTCAATTTATGACCATCACGAGAGAAAAAAGAAGGAAGTAATGATACATTCATATAGAAATAATTGTCTTAATAAAGGATGACTTAATTAAGCAAATATGTATGAATACTATAATTTTCTTTTTGTGTACCCAAAACCTCAAAATAAAAGAATAAAAATAATTAGTTCTCTTATCTCCACCCTCATCCCACCATAACAATGATACAAATTAAAATAACATAAATGTGTGAGTTCGTTTTAAGTATGAGTCTCGGATATCCTAATTAAGAATAAGAGATTAAAAAATGAATAAAAGAGAAAATGAACAAGACATTTGAATTGTTGATAGATATATTTTTTTTAATAAAAATAATAAGTTTTCTTAGATGGACAATCAATCTGAGTATGAATTTTAGTTGGATCTCCATTAATGAATTGTGTTATGTTACGATAAATTGGGGATTGATTTAAAATAGGTCAATAAGAAGATATAATAAAATTAATTATTTTTTAAGTATTATTTTCAAGTGTATGTAGGCCTCGCGAAGAAGTTGTACAAGCGTCCATGCATGGTCCACTACATCCAGAAAAGAGTGGCCCGCTGAAACCATATATTGTGACTCAATTTGCAGTTGCGACCTCAACCCTCTTACGAAGCACTTAACCTTATCCTCCTTTATGGGAAAGATCATGATATCATGACAAGATAACTCATGAAATCTGGTTTCATACTCATATACCGTCATAAAGACCTGCTCCAACCTCAAGAACTTGTCGCGGAGTTTATCTTTGACACTCCATGGGATATCTAGGCAGAAAAGCCTTAGAAAACTTTGTCCACATCACTTGCGGGGACCCAACTACTTTGGTCTCCATAAAAGAGTGAACTACTGCCTCGGCCCTAACTGATAAGTTGTGACGTCGGCTCTCCTCGACTCCACCAACCCTAAATTTTGGATTTGCTCCTGGCAAATAGTAAGGAAGTCTTAGTCATCCTTGCTAACTACCCCCCAAAAAACTCAGCGGTGATAGTCTTAGAAATATACCGAGCATTTTTTGCTCCCTCAGTAGCATAACTTCGTCTAAAATATCCTACTGAACGACGACCATTGATGGCGGCTGCTGAACCTCTGGAGCCGCTGCTGTAGGCTGACCCTGCGGTACTGGAGATGACTTTGGAAATGGTGATGGGGCCTGCTGCTACTGAACTCCCGTAATATCCGCTAGAATCTATGTACCCATAACATAATGGTTGAGGGAAAAAGCTTGTGTAGGTGATGGTTGGGTTGGTCCTGGCCCGAACGACTGCAGAAGAATCTCTTCTAACTAAGGCTTCGCCTGTTGCTCCACAATCATCCCTCTCTCTCGGGCTGGCGCTGTACCCCGACCTCGACCTCTATGTTTATCTCTGTTGCGTGTGTGATCCATCCAACTATATAGTTAAACAAGTAAGATTTCATGAAACAGACAGGACAACAATGCATGAAAATTATGCAAAATAGAAAAAACTCCTTAAGGATATCATGTAGCCTCTCGAAGATAAGTCATAGATGTCTCTGCGCCGATCATTAGGAATGTACTAGGTGTTATACATCTACAAGTGAGACCAAGAATCATGGGCCTCTGATACCAACTTTCACGACATGATTTCTCGAGCCATGATGGAGCCTACCAACCCACCAAAAGGCTAGCCAAACCCAATCCCGGAACTTGAGAGCAATGAGACTGGGGGCAGGGAACTAAACTCAACTAAGCGAAGCATAAATAAACAAAACAAATAAGCACAAGGAGGATGCGAACCTAAAAATATTTATATAAAAAATACCTCAGAGAATCTAGAAGTCACATGTACAGAATTACTTAAAGAGTACAAGTCCCAAAAGTGAACGACACAAACAAGACCGCCTCAAAAATTCAAAAGGCAAGTCAAAATGTAAATATGGAATGAAGACAAGAAATCTCAGAAAGCCATGTTCTCACCCTTGTCTCACGAATAGACTGATGTAGGCTCGACCTCAACGCTGATAGCTGGTGCTTGGACCTGCATCACAAGACAAGATATACAGTGTAGCATTATTATCGAGCAACATGTAGCCATTAGACATCATAGAACGACTGAGCAATAAAGGTAAAACGGACAGAAAAAATAGAATCAAACACGAACAGAGCTCAACAGAAATAAGAGCAGAACAACTGGAGAGCTAGTCTAAAGATATTTAACCTAAACCTAACTAGGACCTTCATAAGACCCATTAGGTACTCTCAAGCACAAATAAATAAGAATAGAAATGGACTCCCATAAACCCAAAATATACGTATAGAGGACAAAATTACGGAACCCAAAGGAAGCCTAACTTTGAACTGACACAACCAACAACTTCAACAAAGTCAACAAGTCTAACACACTTCGGGCAACCAAGCCAACCAATAAAGGGAATTACCCATCCAAGAGACTATCGCGCGGAGGTATACAAATCCCCTCCAGAATACCTAACCCAACCACCCAATAAGCTTAAACTCTGGGGGCTTTCCCAAGCCAGCTAAATGTGCCATCTAACACTCCCAGGGCCCTGCCCTAGCCAGATACAGTGTGCATGCCTTCTAACTCTGAAGAGTACCTCAAGTGACTTATATCCAACTACACATCCAATGAATCACCCCTAGGGGCCCTGCCCATTGCCATCCAAGTGAGTCAGCTATCACTCCTGGGGGGCCGTGCTTAATACCAACAAGAGTGTGCGTAAAACAACTTTGTAGATGATCTCAAATTCCAAGCTATCGTTGATCGACATCCACTACCAACCACATCAGAACAGGTGAATCGACACTAAGACATCGTGAATCCACATGAACTAACAACTACCTCAAACTAGAATCGACCGCAGAACACCCCAAACCAAGAAAATACTACGCCTCTAATAACACATCGATATCACGAAAATAGGGACAGAAGCCAAAAAGATCACAAACAGTAAAAATTCAAAATCTTGGTTCAACTATCATACCCAAGCGGTCTATTCCGCCTTACAAAGACCTAATCCATCCAAACCGCCGTTGGATACACACCAAATTCAGCTAGGTACATGGGTCTGAGCAACTCTAACATATACTAGACTAAGGCCAAAGATAAATTCCAACACAAATGAAAATCAAACTAGATACTATGCATGCAACAACAAAATAAACAACATAAGTAGTAATTAAAAAAATATCCACAAATAAACAATCCCTCTAACACCACGGTACTAACCATGAAAAAGCCCTAAAATCAACCATACAACATTGTTTCCGATAAGAAGAGAAGACATACTAACAACCATGCCAAAATGACACAATTCATCGTGCGATAACACAACTAGGCTAAATCTAAAAAACAATGATGTGGTAGCCAATTTGAAAGCCGACCACGCACTCTTCAAATCACCCTGCCAGAGTTTTTCCCTTCTAAATGGCCTTAGATTGCTGCCACTCTATCAAAAATAGAATCACATTATCAACATGATCGTTTAGACAGAAAAATCATTTAAATTACAGACACAAAATTTTGAGTCAAAATCGAGACATGTAAGATCCACACCAAACTTTCAAGATTAACGCCTTGAAGAGGTCTTAAACCCTCCCCCGAGCTAGTATTCCAAAATGGAGCACCTTTCAGGGTTAAAAACAACTACAATGAACCAAAATACAA